AAACCATCACAAATATGACAGCAGGAAGAAGACGGGACCCGCCGGATCCATGAGTGGTGAGCCGAGGCTGCCTATTGCTTCTTAAATCAGCAGGAACCCTGTAGACCAAAACAGCCGAGAGCTTTAAGTGGCAGACCTGTGCAGCATGGTCCAAACTAGGGATGCACCGATACCGGTTTTTCGGTAGCGAGTACAGGTACCGATATTTTGCTTTCAGTACTCGCCGACACAGAGTATTGATACTGGTGCTTCTACTGGCGTGGAGCCAGCTTCCCGGGCAATCAGGAAGCCGGGTGGTGGGTAATGACATACCGCCTGGCTTCCTGATTGCCCAGGAAGCCAGGCGGCGAGTAATGACCCCCCAATCAACATCGAGCTGGCTATTCGGCCAGCTGGATGCTGATTGGCCAGGAAGAAGGGTCCCTGGCCAATCAGCATGGAGCCGGCTTCCTGGCCAATCAGGAAGCCAGGCGGCGAGTAATGACCCCCCAATCAACATCGAGCTGGCTATTCGGCCAGCTGGATGCTGATTGGCCAGGAAGAAGGGTCCCTGGCCAATCAGCATGGAGCCGGCTATTCCGGTGACTTGATGCTGATTGGTTGGGAAGTCGGCTCTATGTTGTTTGGCCGGCTTGATTGTGATTGGCTGGGAAATCGGCTTCCCGGGGGCAATCAGCAAGGGGCCGGCTTCCCGGGGGCAATCAGCAAGGGGCCGGCTTCCCGGGGGCAATTAGCAAGGGGCTGGGTCATAACTCAAGCGCAGCTTCCTGATTGCACAGTAAGCTGGCTCCATGTTCCCCTACGGCACTGCCGGTCAGGGGAAATCTTCCTCTGACCGGAAGTTCCAGTATCAGGGAAGGTATCGGAGCATTTGGGCGAGTATGAGTACTCGCCCAAATACTCGGTATCGGCACCCATACTAGAATCAGTGCATCCTTAGTCCAAACTCTATACTTCCTATTGAGATGAATGGGAAGCATACAAGTAAACCAACAGCAAGCGGAGATAGCAAGCCCCATCCGAAACTACATGTCAGTTTCGCTTTCCCCTCTCAGGGGGTCACAATCCTGTAGTAAGTGGCGGAGGAAATGCTACAACTCATAGAATCTAAACAGATGGTACCTGAAGAACTCCAGGGCGCACTCGTTCACTCTCTTGCTCTCCTTCAGGCATTTCCTTGGATCCTTCTCCTCCCAGCGACATAACATGAACTCCTTGTTCGGCTTGTCACACTGAGATCCATAGTGGTGGGCAGCAGCCTTCAGCACGGCAGAGCTCACGTTGATCTGTGATAGAAGAAGTGAAAAAAAACCTGATAATCGGATCAGAAATCTGACAGGAAATGGTAAGGAGTAACGTCACTGCTATCAAGAAAAAAAAAACGACCCCTCT